ACCAAGTGCTGGTTCATCTGGTGGTTGGGGTTCCTTCTGTATTACTGTCTTTACCTTCCAACATAAAGCTTCTTGAGGCAACTGTTCAAAGTTGGTGCTTTAGAAATCTAATTTAAATAAAAAACACTCAACAGCAATGCAATGAAGACAAAACACCAAAATTTATCAGCAAGATTTATTTTTTTATTTTATTCTTATGAAAGACTGACAGGTCTCTGCTCTGAGTCCAGAAGAAAATCCACATGCTGGCAGTCGGGTCACAAGAATACTTCCTGATATTAGAGACGTGGCTGTAACCACAGCTCCCCCAAAAAATACTAAACACAGAAGTTTCTCTTCTCAGAGAACTCAGATAAGTGCTTTTCACAGTGAAGGCACAAAGGCTTCTAAGTGGGACTAAATATCAGTGAGCTGACATGCTTTGTTTAGTTCCCAGGAAACGGGTGAACTCAGTGCTACAGGAAGTCGGAGGAGAAATGAAACAGAAAAGGTGAATGATGGCAGCAGGGTAAGAGTGATCTGGCTGGGGTCAAACTGCGGTGGCTGTTCAGGCATTCAGGTACTTGGCGTGGTGTTTGATGTGGTCATTCATGAAGGAGTAGATGAAGAAGTAGCTGTGGTCATAGCCCTGCAGAAGGAAACAGCATACAGTGACTCAGATCAGGTGTTGCATAAATATGAAGATCAAAAAATAAATAAACTTCATTTTCTCAGCTGCTGTACGACTTATTTGAAGACATCTCTGATTTCTCTGACAAGAATCAGAGCTTTTACTTTGTAGAGACTACAGGAACTGACCGGCTGCAGCCTGAAGACGACAGGGATTTTCTTCTCGGAGCAGACAGCGATCAGGTTGTCGGGCAGAAGCTGGCTAGCTGACAGGAACTGGTCGTCTCGGCCTTGATCAATGAGGATGTCGAGCTGAGGACCGGAATACGAAGCTGCCAACACGGTAGCGTCATACGCCTGAAAGAAATAATGACGAATTGCTTAAGTCACATGATCATGCTCCATTATCACCCGTTTCATCTGCTCTGGTGGCCAAACTCTCCTTGTTGACACTCTCATTGATTCTTCATCCAGCAGCTTAGGGGTCATGTTTTAGTAGGTTCTTTGGCCACTAACTTCAGTGCTCTTACCTCCCATGTTGACCTATCAGGGCCCAGGTATCCTGAGAAAGCTTTCTGTCCCCAGGGACACTGCATCGGGTTACAGATGGGAGCGAATGCAGACACAGCCTGCAGGAGACACATCAGGATCTATCAGCATCTTTCAGTCATTCAGAATGTGTTTCTACTGATGGAAAGTGAAGAGAGAGGACAACCGAGGCTGACGGGATGCAATAGTTCTGGTGATGTGATATTTTGTGACAATAAAATGTTTCCACAGAGATTCCTGGAGACATAATAAAACAAGTCTGATAAAGAAAAATGATTTACTAGTTTCACTGGTGTTGGCTTTTTAAAAGAGTACTTGGGCAAATTACATAACTGAGCAATTGAGACATGAAAACCAAATCATTGAGACATACAACCAAAGAATCCACCACACATTACATCTCTTTAATTCTCGGGTCTTTACCTCACAGTATAAAGTGCCTTGATGGCAATAAATGTTGTGATTTGGCACTTTATAAAATTGAAAATTTAATAAGTGCAATCGGCTGTATAATCCCGTCTATCTGAGCCTATCTACACATCTTCATTAGCTCTGATTTTCATCACAGTTTTTGTCCTTATGCATTTGTTTTTTGCACCATTTTTATCAAGGAAAAAAAAAAAAAGAAATGGTCGTTAACGAGCAGATTGCTTCCAGCGTTTACGCAGCTTTACTTCAATTAGACTGAAGTCAGAGTCGTTAGCAAACATCTTGTGTGTAGATGTGGAATATTTCAATTAGTGTGTCCAGATACACTTAAAACATTTAATTTAATCTGTCTGATAATTAAACGGTCAAAATGACATACACAGTTCACAACTTTTCATTATCCCTGGCATATAGAAGAACTTATTAAAAGGTGTAGCAGAAGCAGACTGACAAATTAATGACAGGAAATGTTATTTATGATTAAAAAACTAAATAAAAATGAAAGCTAATTTAAATCTATTAGAGATTATAGAGATGAACCAATTGCCCTCATTAATGAAGCCGTTTCTCTTGTACAAGTGAATAGTACAGTACCTTGTATTTCCCCGGGTTCTTCAGGGCACAGATGAGCGCCCCGTGGCCGCCCATTGAGTGGCCGGAGATGGACATCTTCTCTGGGTCGGTGGGGAAGTTAGCGTTGATCAGTTTAGGGAGCTGACAGAGATGAGGCAGACTATTTAAATCACAGGAGCTTTAGGAAAAACAGGTGTTGCTGGACGTGGAAGACTTAAATCCGTCATACCTCCTCGGTGACGTAGGCATACATGCGGTAGTTGGTCTTCCATGGGTCCTGGGTGGCGTTGACGTAGAAACCAGCACCAGTGCCAAAATCCCAGCTCTCATCTTCGCCTTCGATGTTGCAGCCACCTTAGGAGGGATGACAGATGGTTGGTCAGTCACAAAAGCTCTAAAGATGCTGAAGCCCCACCATAACCTTCATAGAGATTTCACTGAGCAACATCAAGACTTCAAAACAAACCGTGGGAATCAACACAAAGACGTAAGTGCACTCATGCTGAGGTGCTTACTATCAGATGGAGAACTTACGAGGGCTGGTGTCAGGAGCTACGATGATGATGCCGTGCTCCGCAGCACCGAGCTGACTGCCGGCTTTGGTGATGAAGTTCTGCTCCGTACACGTCAGGCCTGCAGAGAGACAGTGAAAACTGATGACCCGCAGTCACCGCTCCTCTGAACAGGCATGATAGCTTATGATCAAATCATCTTCTGAAGGCTGTCCAAATACGTTCATTTGATTTCATGCTTCACAAAAAAAGTTTTTAATCAATATCAGTCAATATTTTAACATTTTTCACAAAATTCAACAGTTAGGCTGTGTTTAAGTTATCGTTCATACTACAGTCGATTAGAAGGAGAACCTGAGTGATTGAGCCACGTAAGGATAACAGTGGTCGAACACCACAGAGTGAACAAAATTACTGCAACAATTAGTGCGACTTGAGATCTTGTTGCCTATTGATTGGGAGACCAATCTGTCAACAACTGTAAAAAAAAAAAATCCAATGCCTGGAAATCACTGATTCTTCCTCGTCACAATCTAATGTGACTGAGGCTTTACTGTTACCATCACAGTGAACTTTTATTTTCTTTATAGATTTTCACAATTTGCATAGGTATTTCTCCATCCCTAAAAAGATAATATAGCCATGCATGTATTACCAGATTTGCTATTATGCCACCACCTTTTCACCCTAACATTTTAAACATATCTCCATTACTTTTAGCAAACAACTTTAAGCATTTACAGTTAACCCTTCATCTATTATTTCTTTTTAACCATTATGTTGAAGCTACTTTTAAATATCTTTGCCACTACTTATAGATTACTTTACACTGTTAGCTACTTTTGGATATTTTTAGATTTTTAGCAATTAAAAATATTGAACAATCTATTAACTGCTCTCAGCTATTTGTTTCTTTCAGCAAACAATTTATCCATTTAATTTTAGCTAATTCTATAGTCCATAACTATACACCTATTGCTTTCAGCCAATCATTTAGCATGGTTAGCAAACTTAAAAATCTTAAGCTAACAGGTATAAATTTGAGGGTTTTTTTTTTGCTAATTTGATTTAACAGTTCTTTACAGTGAGAAAATGTTCAATTCTGACTTACAAAACTGAAATCATCATCATTCTCTTTTTTAACCAAACTGAGACTAATTCCAGCTTTTTGCCCTTTTAGGTCTATTTTCTCTTCTTCAGTTAAA